TTGAACTCTTGTGGTCAAGATCATTAGCCTCCTCAAGGACATTTTCACATCACCTATATAATTTGAATAGAAGAAAATGACCTTTTAGATTAATTATGTGTAAAAATGAAGATTTCTTGTAAGAAAAAAATTGTATAGGGCTAGAAAACCATTTCTCCTGCTATAAAGAAGTTTTTTGTTACTCTCTAATAATATTCTTTGATATTTAATATTAAAGAGAAATGTGTAACTAAATGCGTAATGTGATGTTCATTGACTCTACCGAGGGAAACTTCACAAACTGAGAAAAAGTTCATACTACGATGTTTTGTTGGCAATAAAAGAGCACAACTATGACTTATGAGGACATGAATATTAGCCCAATGACCCACCTTCCAACATCTAATATAAGATAAAACTTTTTATTAATAGTAAAAAGTACTGCATAGTATAAAATTTCCCTCAAGGTACCTATATATACAAGTCACCCATACATGCTATTAAAACTTAGTGTCAGATGAAAGATCAATGTTCTGCTCATGGATCATATAATCAAATTAACTTGTGAAAGATAATGTAGATAACATTTTACCCCATAATTAAGTATTCTTTGAAAAAGATCGGATAATACATAATGCGATTTCTAAAAACTAACAAAAAAAAAACTCAAATTTGTGTTTGCCTCAACGAACTATGTTGTTTTGAACTGAACTTATCATTTGCTCGAATCCTCAGTCTTGTGAAGATCAATACAATGACTTTGTGCTCATTTTTTATCTTTGATGCCTTGTGTCTAAGTGGCCACCACCATTGTCTCTTCAAAGAGAAATAAAAAATGAAATTCTTCCCTGGACACTTGTAAAAGAATTATACTAACTAAATTTATTTTACAAAAATAAGTATCCCAAAAATGTTAGTACTGATAAACATGCAAGAACCATCATCAAGAACTTATAAAAAATATCAAGTTCTAGAAACGAAATTCTTTTCGAGTTTCATACAAAACTTTCTACCCTCTACATTATTCAACAAAGCTATGCGCCTCACCTTTTACATAGATATATATATATATATATATATATTAGAACGCATACAAGATACAACATCATTTTTTTTTACGTTTTTTTTTGTGTTTGTCTTGTGCTGCAATGTGGATATCTATATATTTGAGAAGGCGTACGGCCAGACGTGGAGCAACAATTCAGCAAAACGGTGCAAACCTTATTTATTGTTTTCTGCTATTTTATTTAAGTAAGAGAATAAAGAATTAGATGAGAAAAGTGGGGGAAAAAAGAGAAATCTAATTGCTCGCCATTGAAGGGTGCCACGCCAGCTTTTACTTTTTCCTGCTTTATAGACCATAATTAGACTATTAGAGATCAAATGACATAAACTTGCATAGTTTACTCCAACTGACACATAAAGTCAAATTCGGATCAGAATGACAAGTTTGTTAGCCATATTAGTTCTTCATCATATCGTATCATATATTACTAAAAGTGGAAATAAAAAAAATTGAAAGTCAAATTACAATTTTACCTCTATATACTATAAGTTAAAATGTTATAAAATATTCAACTATTTAAATATTGAATTGTATCGTTTCCATTAAAATGTTAATGACTTTTGGACTTACTTAGATTAATTTCTAATTTATTACTAATATTTATCATCTATCATCTATATGTATGTAATAATAATAATAACAATAATAATAATAATAAACTAATAACAATAATAATAATAATAAACTAATAACAATAATAATAATAATAAACTAATAACAATAATAATAATAATAAACTAATAACAATAATAATAATAATAAACTAATAACAATAATAATAATAATAAACTAATAACAATAATAATAATAATAAACTAATAACAATAATAATAATAATAAACTAATAACAATAATAATAATAATAAACTAATAACAATAATAATAATAATAAACTAATAACAATAATAATAATAATAAACTAATAACAATAATAATAATAATAAACTAATAACAATAATAATAATAATAAACTAATAACAATAATAATAATAATAAACTAATAACAATAATAATAATAATAAACTAATAACAATAATAATAATAATAAACTAATAACAATAATAATAATAATAAACTAATAACAATAATAATAAGCTTAAATTAATAAATCCAAAAATTTCTATGTAAATTACTCAACTTTTCCTCTTTCCGTATCTCCTCTCATAAATAATATAATTTTTGTGGATAAAGTATTATCCTTTATGATAAATAAAGAAATTTAATAATTTAAAAGGGTGCAAATCTACATGGTTTGTTAGCTTTAAATTTTATTTCTATTCTTCATTTATTTATTATTATTTTCTTTATTTGCTTTAAATATTCACATTCATAACTCATATATAATTACCTATTCAACTTTTATACTCTTAATATTCATAACTCTCATTTTTTCATATTCATAACCTCCAAATATTTAATCTAAAACTGAAAGATACCTTTTGGTATTCCTTCATTTCTATCTATAGAAATTCAACTTTTTTATTTCATGAAACCCCTACCAAGGTTATCATTTTTACTCTATAGCTAAAGTAGATGAAGAAGACTCTTGAATTGATAGGATATGGGAGAAGGAGTCGATAAGAACTCGAAAAATTATGTACTTTACTTTTTATTTATTTTTCCATCTATGTTATTATTGAAAACACCCTTCATTTGGTGTTTTTTGTCATATTATTGAAGACTTATTTGTAATTGTTGCATTTTGTTACTCATTACATACATGGTTCCATAGAATTTTAGTCATTCTAACATATCTATAAAAATTCAAATGGAACACACGTGCAAAGCAGGTGTCCAGAAACTAGTAACATATATAAACGTGTAGAATCATGCTCACAATGTCTGTTCATTCAACAACTTTGATTGCATGAGATCCCCTTGCGTGTATTAGTAAAAAATGGAAAAATTTAGGTTGAGATTGACAAATATGAGTTGTCTTTATTACACGAACTATATGAGTTATCCATTGCGTGTTAATTTAGTAAGACTAAATTTTATTGAAAGAGACTTGCGAAAAATGAGTGAATGACTATGGATTGGAAGCAATGAAGACCACTAGGAATTAGGATAAGCTTCTTATATACACTTAAGGATCTTGAACTTATGCGGAGGCATTCGGAAAAGGAACAATAATAATAATAATAATAAGATAGTGTGATAATTGAAAATGCAACAAACAACAAATGATGGTACATGTCAAAAGCAAGAAAATCTAGGAATAAAGGTTAATACTATGACAGAAACCACCAAGCCTAACCCGTCAAAAAGCAAGACAACGTTCCATTGTCTACTAACCTTCTACTCTAATCCACAATCTGCACGTCCTCCTATCAAATGTCATGTCCTCAATAATATAAAGTTGCATCATGTCATGTCTAATGGATATATACAAATTCTAAGAAAAAAACTAGTTTCGATGTTGGTCATTAGGGTTTACTTTTTGATTCTATTTGACCCCATCTTTTATATTGTGAGATGGACTCGCAATCTCGTAATTTTTTTTTATATAGTCTTGGAGATTATTGAGATGGTTCGAGAAGGGAAAGTGATCGTGTGAAGGCTTGTGGTGTGTTTGCTTGACCTTCGAGATAGGTTATGACTTACTCTTATTAGAGTGATCAGTTTGGATAGTATCTTATTGTATAAAGCATGTTATGAGTTGAGCGTAATGACTGAACTTGGAGTATTGAATTAAGATTATAAAAATTAGTTTTAAATTCTTAATAATCATATATTATTTGCATTTTGTAACTTTTAACAAGAAGTTTTAGATATTTCAAATGTCATATCAAGTTTTTTGTTTAAATATTTCAGATTCATTGTTTTACTATTTGGTATCAGTATGACAATTCATTATTATTTGGATTATTATATCACGAAACTTAATATGTTTACTTATTTCAGATTCATTGTTTTATTATTTGGTATGAGTATCACAATTCATTGTTATTTTGGATTATTATATCACGAAACTTAATATGTTTACTTATTTCAGATTCATTGCTTTACTATTTGGTATAAGTATCACAATTCATTATTATTTGGATTATTATATCGCGAAACTTAATTTTTAATACTTATAAATACACTTTTATAATTACTTATGTAAAATTATTAAGTAAGATGGTCGTACATAGCGAGCTTCCACAACAAATATTATGGTCATTATTGACAAAGGTGGGTTTAGATAAGAAGATATGAAAGTCACGAATTAGGCGCAAGGTTAAAAGATAGTGGAATGTTGTCTCACTCTCCTACATGACAAGCTGAGTTGGAAGATTGTATTAGCACTGTTCTCGTAATTTCTTGTTCTTCGACTACGGCTACTACCTCTGTTTCTTATGCTTCTTTTACCGCACTATTCTTCTCTATATGATATGTTATCCTTTCTCTAATATTCTCTATATCATATTGTCTTGTTATGTGATACTTGAGCTGAGGATCTTTCGGAAATAATCTCTCTCTATCTCTACGAGGTAGGGATAAAATCTGTGTACACATTCTATCTAGGACACATTCAATCAGGTCCCATACCACACTTGTGGCAGTACAAACTAGATATGTTACTATTGTAAAGATCCATGGGCTTATGCCTCATGTCTCGAGGCTTATGCTTTGTCCTATACTAAGTAGAATGCCCCGCCTTAGGCTCCGGCCTTTTAAACCACTGTTTTTTTGTTACAGAGTATAGTTTTAAGACTTTGGATCAGGGTCTGATTATCATCTTGATATTAATCCTTTCTCGTGATGTATGACTAATGTCTAATGTGTTAAAACCAAATTTACTGATGTGTTAGGCCTTGTTGAATCTTTTTTTGAACTAAAATAATGTCAGAAATTGTCCTGTCAAAAGCAAATAGACTACTTCCAGAAAGGTGGATGAATTAGAGGTTATTACTAAGGTAATATAAAAGAGGCATTTGCAGAAAGAAAAATGACTTAATTACAAGTTACAAGTAACATTTATTTCAAAACTGGAAGGATTTAACAGCAAAAATAAGAAAACTTTTGACAGAAAAAATCATCATATGTTAGTTCCATTTGTATATACTAGGAGTATGCTAATTTAGTTGAATTTGATTTCCATTCAACTGTTGAAAGTTGCTCTTCTTCAAGTTGTTGAAAATAAGTACTATGTTAACTCCTATTCTTGAACTCTTATATTCAATCTTCTTAGCCATATGGAGTGAACAATCATATGAAAAAGATCAAATCTTTTAGGAGATCCATTGATCACAAAATGCCTTTGCACTTGCTTCACTCTCCTATGCATTCTCAAATACTGACTCTGAGAAATACTTATTAGTATCTTCTTGATATTTGGTATGTCCTTCACACCAATAGTCACAGAGAATGCATTCCAATTTAAGACATCACTAAATGGTGGCACATAGCTATCTGATATCAAGACAGGTATACATTCTGCATATATCGCTTCGACAATTCTTGGACTTGCAACTTCATATCCACTTGGACATAAACAGAACCTGCTGTTCTTCAACATGGTTTCATAAGATTTGTCATTTGGAAGTTTGTCATAAACCAACACATCTTCATCTTTTCCTTTCCATTGTTCTAGTAGATGGTGTCTTATGTTACCATGTAAACCACCAGCAAAAAATGCTAGGATTGATCTTCTTGATGGAGAGGGACCTCCAATGAGTCCTTTGATATCGCCCGTCTTGAGATTGATTTCCGGTAAGGATACATCTTTTAGAGGATTAAAACCTTCTGAGGTATTGGCATTGCATAGAACTCTTATGGAGGTGTTGAAGAGATGTGGAACATATGAAGTCAAATGTGGCCCCTGGAGACCATCAATAGAGAAGCTTTTCATCAAAAAGGCAAATTTGATGACACAATGTCAATCAAACTATCAACTACTCCCTCCGTTTCAATTTATTTGTCTTGCTTTCCTTTTTAGTATGTTTAAAAAAGAATGTCTCTTTCTCGACAATTCTTTAAGTTCAACTTTACACATGACATGCTTAAGATCACAGAATAAAACAACATTTTGACACATTCCTAACTTTTTTAAACTCCGTGTCAAAGTCAAAACAGACAAACAAATTGAAACAAAGAGAGTATGTCAGAGTCTGAAACTAGTTGACTCTAGAGAATTTGCTTACCCAATCATGACAAGAGAGCATGAAGTGATCAGCACCACGACTTCTGTTCCAAAAAGAATGTCTTTCAGAAATAACTTTGACATAATCAGCAACAGTTCTACCAATGACATGCATATCATGGGCACCAGGGACAAAAAGGTATTGAACCATCACAACTACACTGAATGGTAGAAAATACACCAAGGCCTCATCTGGATTTTTTGTTCTATAAAGGCTCCCCCTTTCCATTTCATGTATAAATCTTCCCTCTGTTGAATATATACTCCTACACGGACCATTATGGAATATTGGAGGTTCTCCTTCCTCATACACATATACCTTGAAGTTCTTCTCCATTTCAAGATAGCTCCTACAACATTTTCGCGAAAGATACAAATTATGAACACAACGTTACTGTAGATTTAGTTTAAGTTCTATGCATTAACGGTCTATACACAACCAGTTCACGTATACAGTATTATAAGTAAATCTATATGATAAACATTAACCGATAACATGATAAAATGGTAGTTATATAACTTAAATTAATGTGAGGTCAAACCAATAAGGCCTGTGCTGGACTGGTAATTACTCCTATATCTTTAATCATACGTCTTGGATTTGACGAAGTGGCATTTGTTAGGGAGAGTATTACCTCCTAATGTGGAACTTTCCGGCACAAAATCCGAATTTAGTTGGACTCTAATACAGATACCACACATTGAAAGAGAAACAAAAAAGAAAATAAAATTGTGAGAGGTAGGATTAGTAGTACCTGTGGAAGGCATTTGCATTATGGTACATGGGGCCTTGAGGAACATAATCAGGGTCATGATGGTTAGATATCATACTCCCATTTCTAGCAGCTTCTCTTATTGATGATCTGGATTTTGCCAAAATTGCTTCTAGCCTTTCTAACTTGCTATACATTTTAAGCACCCCTTTAGTTGCATTATTACCATGTTCTTCTCCTTCATTAGGTATATCCTTATCAATCTCTTCTTCTCCTTCATTTGATTCATCCCTCTCAATCTCTTCTCCTCCTTCCTTCTATTTACAAGTTAGCAAAGCACAATAAGAAGAAAATAGATCAACATAGAGTTTAAGTTCTATACGCTGAAGGTTACACAATCACGTTACTTAAAAAAAATCAAAATATTTTTTTAAGGAAAACAAGTTCCTTAAAAATGAAGAAAATGACTTCCGTGATGCAAATAGGGAAAACGAGTTCCATAAGTGATCTTCCAAACTTAATTGTCTCCTCTTCACCCCCCCTCCAAAACTCCCACTCCTCCACCTTTTTCCCATCCCATAATGTTTACACCAAAAAAATAAGTAAAAGATTCACTTATTTTTCAAGAAAATATTTTTCCTTTATACTTAACATGCACACCCATAAAGTAAACACAGTCATTAAAACCTTCTATCACATGTTAAATATACTAACACTGACAATGTATATAACTTAAATCCTCAGTATATACATAAGAAAGAAAAATACAACAATACATAAAACAAGGGAAAAGTAGGATTTACTTGGGGAGGTTGATGAGGTATTGACTCTTCTTGAACTACCAAATTCTCATGAAATGAATTATTGTTGAAAGGAGAAGTAAAAGATGAAGAAGCCTCATGTTGCTCTTCATAACTACTTAAAGACCTCAAAGAATAAGAGTTAAAGACTCCAACAGACTTCCATTTCCAAGAAGAAGAAAATGACACAAAAGATGAACTACTTTGTGGACCTATTAATGTACAAGCAATAATTGAAAGAAGAATCAAAGGAATGAAAACCAAAAGAGCCAAATTAGATGACAAAAATGAAGGCAATTGCAATTTCTTGAAAGACCACATTTTCTAATTTTGCATGCTCACTATACTGTCTTTAAATAAATAAATAAGAACATTCTGAGATTCATTACTTCATTTCAAGTTATTCTTTGCTGCAAAATTGCATTATTCTTGCATATCATGTGTTTAAAATAAGCTAAAAAGGGCACTTGCTAAGTAGCCAACACTTTTATGGGGATCTTCTCCTTGAAAAGTTTCCTTAAAGTTCAAGTAATGAAAAATTTATACTTTACTTTTCTCCATTTTTTTGTGCCACTAGTTCAATTCCCAAAATCTAATTTTTCACCCTTTTATGCTTTTGTGTACCATAGCTCTGCTGTAGAAGTTCAAAATAAAATTAATTTTTAAAATTTTAATCTTAATAGTAATTATTCTTAAAAATTATAAATATCTTAATAAAGTAAACATTTAATAAAGATAGAATATATTTTAAGACATAAATAAAAATAAATTACGAATATCTTAATAAAGTAAATATTTAATAAAAATAGATTATATTTTAAAATATAAATAAAAATAAATTATGAATATTCTTCATAATTAATATTTTTTTAAAAGACATGTAAAAATACAAATAATTTTAGACGGAGATAGAGGGAGTACTAATAAAAATGAAATGAATAACGCTCTTAATTAATTTCATGTATAAACATAGGAGTTATTACCATTTTCTTAACTTTAAAATTTGAAAAAACCACTTCCCCCATCTTAATTTTTTTGTTGACTAGAAACTTTTGAATATTTGAACGGCAGTCTTACACTATAATAAAAGTAATTCTTAGTGGCAATAAATATACACACTAATAAAGAGAGCTAAATTATTTATCGATATTAATTAATTGTTATTAGATTTAATATCGCTAAACGTTGTAGCAACATCTATAAAGAGTGTTGATTACCGTTAAAAATATATTTTTAATGAGAATTAAGCTATTGCCGTTATATATCATTTTTTGTGTAGTATTAACTAAGCTGTAATCATAAACTTCTAGAGATCTATAGTATTTTGAAATTAAAAATCAAATCATTCATAATTTTAATTTTGTTGTAGTATCACCAGTATCAATCAAATCATTTCAAAAAAATAATAATTTTAAACTTAATTGTTAAAGTAGCACACTTTAGTCACGTACGTTTGGCTTACTCAAAATGCAACATGCAACGTATCCATTCATTTAATATATCATCCCATATAGTAAAAAATGTACAAATTGGGCAATTCACGAGGCTAAACCGCCCTCCAAGTTGTCATAATATTCATGATGATACAGCAAAACCCAAGAATTATAAGCTGTAATATTTTGACGGAAAAATGGTTGACTTAATTTATTACACCCTCTATTTCATAGTATTAAGTGAATTTTTAAAGTTTTTTTTGAGATAATTGTTGAGACCTCCTTGGAGATTTCGCTTTATAACTTATCTTCTTTAGTAATGTATGCGTAGATCGGACTTCAGCTCTTTTTTTTTATCTAGATGTCGCATTGTATTTGCTTGAATTCGAGAAACACAATCATCAAGTCAGAACTAGTTTCATAGCTACTCGTATCCGCGGATCAAAGAAGACCAATAAAATCTCGATTCAGCATAAGCAAGGGTCTCACTTTTTCTGTGGTTTACGATATTATGGCTGTCTCCTTTATTTATTTTAATTTTCTTGTAACCATTCTTGAAACCTATTAAAAATAAATATAAATTTAATTATAATTAGACAACTTTGTCCCTCTTTATATAAATTGCTTCATATTAATCCATATTACTTCAAAAATGACTTATTCAATAATTTTTTTAAAAATAAATGTGAATCTTTGTTTGGTAAAAAAATTATTTGTATTGATTTATTTTTAAAGTATTTATTAAATAAGTCATGTTGTTAGTAATATGCATTAATATGAAGAAATTAACATGAAGAAGGGAAAATTTGTTAAGTTATAATTGATTTATATTTATTTTAAATAAATTTAAAGAATGGTAAAAAAACAAAATAAGGGATGTAGGCTAAATATCGTAAATTACATGGAAGGTGAGTGTTATAGAGCGAAACCTGAAGAAAACTCTATGAAATTATCCATTTTTTTAATTGTTCAGAATAATTGAATTGTTTAAAGTTCAAAAGATAAATGTTTGAAAATACTATAATATCCAATTGCGGTGTTAATTTTTTTTATTTCGATATGATATACTATAACTACTAGGCATAATACATAAATATGCCCTTTAACTTGGTTTCAAATCAAATTTATGTCCTTCAACTTTGGGTGTGCACAAGTAGACACTTAAACTTGTATAACGTTGAACAAATAGACATACATGTCCTACATGTCATTTTTTGTCCTACGTGGTGTTCTACGCGTGTATTATGCCATGTAGGACTCGTGTATTTACTCGTTCTACTTTATACAAGTTTAAGTGTCTACTTGTGCATATCCAAAGTTGGAGGATATAAGCGTAAAATGAGGGCAAGTTAAAGGAAACGTTTATGTATTATGCCTATCTACTATATCATGCCCACTTCAATTTTTAACTATATCTCTGACGTCAAATAAATAAATAAATTAAAAATATTATTCAATATTTTAAAAAAAGTATCTAATTTAACAAAGTATAAAATAAACTTTATTTTATTTATGGATGTAAAATGAATATAATGAAATTGGAAGGGAGGAAAAATTAGAAATATATTGTAAAGACAGGAGTTGGTGTAGGTTGCCCCGAGATTGGAGCTTAAAAGTTCCGTTACCGTAACGTATATTAAATCAGCAATAAATATTTATCAGCTCTATGATAAAGTATTTCAGAAATCCAAGATACTCTATTTTCCTTTAATTTTTACAAATGAAATGAGTAAAGAAAAACATTAGAATTTTAGTCGGTGGATGTAGAGAAATACACCCACTCAATGTAATAAAGGAACTTACATAAATATATTATATTAAAAAATATTTACCATTTATAGCAATTTTAATACATATTACAAAGATATCATTTATCACACATTTTAATATAATGTGTCAATTTCTTACCAAACTAGTATAATATATTAAAAAACAGTTATAATACATATATATTGCATACATAATTCACTTTTAATACATATTGCAGATTTAACATAGTATTGTTATATATTACTATAAATGGTAATAAATAAAAAGTATCGCTAAAATCGATAATTATTTATTAAAAGATATCAATCCAAGTAATTTTTCCATGTAACAATGGGTGCAGAATTTGAACAATTATTAGAGCCGTCAAAATGGGCTTAGCCCAGGGGGCTGGCCCAACCCAACCCGTTATTATGGTAGGATTGAGATATGATATTTCAAGCCCATTTAAAACTTGGGCTTATAAGCCCGACCCATAAAAGCTATTGGCCCTTGAGGCTTAATCGGGGCCGGGCCAGGGTCGGCCCATGGGTCAAAACTATTTATTTAAGGGTAACTTACATAAATCTCTCCAGTGTATGAGCTAATTACTTAAAGACATGCTATATTGTAATATTACGAATCTTATCAGATATTGGTACATTCAGATACATGTATCTCGGGATACATGAACTCAAAATTATGTTGATTTGTTCTAAATACACTCAATCTCTCTGAATTCATATGTATCTAGGATACATAAACAAATCTCGTGCCCTCGTCTCCCTTCCATCTCACTCACCACTCTCTTATCTCACTCGCGTATCTGGGATGCATCACACCAGATACATATATCTAGTATCCTAGATACATGCTAATAACATTAGACTTTTTGCTAGTGTAATTGAAACAACACCATTATTTGTCATATTTGATATGAAAATCCTCTCATCTTCTTGATGTTATAGAGATTTAAGTTTGGAAAGAAAAAAAATAAAAAAATATGGGCTAGCCCGCCCCATCCCGCGACCCTTTTAGGGTTGAGTTGGGTTGAACATTTTCAGGTCCTTCCAAATGAAGGATCGGCCCGCTCTAGCCCATCAAATTTCCTGGCCCGTGAAACTTGGACCGGGTGAGGCTGGGCTGACCCTTTTTGACAACTCTAACAATTATATTACAAGTGCTGTAAAGGCACTCATGATTCAGTTTAGGTAAATTTAATTAGTTAAACTAACTTTTTAAATATTGAAATCAAATCAAACTAATGAGATTGATATTTTATCACTTCGGTTATAATTGAGTTATATATATTTTGAGTTTGTTGGCCCATTTATCAACATTAAGGTTTATTTTTCAGAAATTAATCATTAGTTAATGATACCTTAAGGTATCTTGTTCAATAATTACTCATTAGTCAATGATACTGTAGACAATAAAATTTGCGTCGAGAAAACAATAATCAAGAACGAAAAAATATCGCAACAATCACTTTATTGATTTAAAGTGCGAGTGTTACAATCTCTATTATTTCTCTGAATTCGTCGTTTCAAATATAATTCAAGTGTTCTTGACCTTGATCTTGAACTTGAGATTTATCTCGATCTTGATCTCTATCTTGATCTTGATCTTGAACTTGAACTTGGACTTGGACTTGGACTTGAACTTGATCTTGATCTTGAACTTTATCTTGATATTGACTTCTAGTTGATTTCAAGGGCTTCGAGCTTGATCTTGAATCTGGTGGTCTTGATCTTGATCGTTCTTGAACTTGAACTTTATCTTGATCTTGACTTCTAGTTGAATCCAAGGGCTTCGAGCTTGATCTTGAATCTGGTGGTCTTGATCTTGATCGTTCTTGAACTTGAACTTTTATCTTGATCTTGACTTCTAGTTCAATCCAAGGGCTTCAAGCTTGATCTTGAATCCAGCGGTCTTGATCTTGATCGTTCTTGAACTTGAACTTTTATCTTGATCTTGACTTCTAGTTGAATCCAAGGGCTTCGAGCTTGATCTTGAATCTGGCGATCTTGATCTTGATCGTTTTTGAACTTGAACTTTATCTTGATCTTGACTTCTAGTTGAATCCAAGGGCTTCAATCTTGATCTTGAATCCGACGGTCTTGATCTTGACCGTTCTTGAAC